GATGTCTGTTACTATAGTTGTCGGTTAGCCGATGCATTTGGCGGATATTGAGACGGCATTCAGCTAAGGTACAGGAAGCGTCTGGTGAGCTAATAGCCGCAGACCAAAGGTGGAAGTGCATTTAGGTCTGGGACGACCTCTACCCCCTCTGATGGCTGCAATTTGATAGGAGGATCAGGTTCTTCCTGTATTTTAAGTCGATTTTGCATCCAAGGACCAAGTTAAGGATTGGCAGACCGAACGGCTATCGATTCCACCAATTCATCCGAACCTCGGTTATTGGACCTGATGTTTAGTTTGCAAGTTGACCCATGTTGAGTAATAAATGGACTGCTCGTCGCTTGTAGGCATACGCAGGTTCTCATTCCTAATGTCTTGTGAGCCGTGCACTGTGGGCTTTGCTTAATGCTAAAAAACTATAGCCGAGGCGTTACAGACCAAGATACAATTGTACCTCTACAGCCTATTGGTTGCTTATCTATCTGAATGATCAGCTCGAGTCTTTAAATGTGACCTGGGAGCCATGACGGTAAAAAAAACTGCACTGGTGCGTCTTAGTCGTGCCTGCTGCGGCGTACAACCCACAGTGGGACCCTGGTGAAAGGCAACATCGGTCTCCCATGGGAAAGGCAGACAGGCGAATTCAAATGCGCTGCAATGCCAGGACGGTTATGGTGGGATTCGTCGATGAAGCGAAGTCTTGACAAAAAGTCTGGCAATTTGTTAGAAGGAAATGCCCACGGAAAAACAGACGAAGACAAAGGAATTGTCACATCTGCCTTATCAAAAGTCATCAGACAGTCTTACCCAATCTCAGGTGTTGCAACACTTGGGCTGCTAGCTGGAAGTCGGGCGCTCTAATCAGTGGACCACGAGCTCGTTGTCTTACCGGTTTCGGGCGGGAATATTAAAAATTGTGGACGGCCGCCCCCCTCCCGACTGGTCGAGGAACTCACTCGTCCCATTATGCCACGAGGCTCGAGCTCAAATCCTCCCAGCATCCACACAACTAGTATCATGGGCCAAGGGACATAACCGACCAATAAAACGGAGA